TGAAATATATATATTTCACATATTTATAGTTTCTTCAATTTTTATGCACCTGTTTATAAATATTTACTGTAATTATATTATTTTATAAAATATTAAAAATTAAATACATATGGGGCTTACGCCTCGCCGAGGCATATGTAAAGCGCCTCGCCTTACGCCCACGCCTTTTAAAAACTGGTCTAAACTGATAAATGACACTATTTGATACAAATAAACAGTAGAAGATCTAATAGAAAGATGACTTCAAGGCCTGCGGACGAGAGTGCAACACTAACTTGAGTCTCCTCAAATCACTAGCTAGCCAGTCCTCGGAGTACCACTAGGTGCAATGTTAGAATATGCAAAACAAGTACAGAAGTATAGTATGAGTATAACCGAACCAATGTACTCCGTAAGTTTCGAGACTAACCCCGATGAGCTAATGACGAGGCTAAGACATGACACCTACCATACAAACATGTATAGTTACATTACGATAAACAATAATGAGAGCTATAACAATTAAGATAACGAGGAAAAATAAGTAACATAGCATAATAGATAACAAGTGAGATAACAAGACTAATAGCTAGAAATAATTGTATGAGGAATAATGAAAGAAACAACTAAATAAATTAACGAGTATACTTTCATAAATAACACCAAATAATCCTTTCACAACAACTCAAGTCTAAGAAAATGATAAGGCAACCATGAAACAATATAACCAAGTCCTCAATTCGAATAGTAAAAGCAAGGAATAAGAAATATCAATCAAATGACATGGCATCACCCTTCGTGCATTTACTATCATCCTCATAAGCATAAAAATATGTTTCGTGCCAATTCACTCCTCCTCACAAGCACGAAAACATCCTTCATGCAATAGTAATAATGTAAAGAAGCACGAAAACATCATTCTTGCAAATCACTCTTCCTTGCAAGTACAAAAATACCTTTTGTGCAATTTTTCTTTCTCACCGAGCGTAAACATACAAAACATTATACGGCAATGTGGGAACCACAAATAATATCAAAAAAAAGTGATTGAACATAACTCACCATGTAGAAAATAACTATCACTTTTGCACCAATAGCCAAATCAATATTATAATCTTAATGCCCAATATCATCACAAGATTAACATAGTTATCAACATGAATAAGAACAATAAAAGAGTTTTACAACCTGTTTCGAGCATGCAAGACATAACACATAAAGGAACATGACATAAATAAAGCTAGTTCTACCTATATGCTTAATCCATAGCAGACGTATATACACTCGTAACCTTGTATATGCGCCGCCCCCAACACATATAGCACATAGCAAATAGACCTAATGACATCCTAATTCCCTCAAATCACCTCTTTCCGGAACAATTCAAGGCTCCAATACCGCTTTCCCTTTAGCACACGCCTCTAAACCACTCCAATCTAGCTAATTAACACTCAAATAAATCAAAATAAATTTTAGAAACTACCCTATTATAAAAAGGTTCAGTCTTTAACATATTTGAAAAGTTAACAAAAAGTCAACTAGGGCCCATTTTGTCGACAATCGAAATCAAGACCAAATCACATTTACCCATTCATCTTGAGTCCAAGTATGTGATTTATTTCGCGTTCCGACCTCAATTTGAGGTCTAAATCTGTAAAATATAAAATGCTAAGTTTCTACCCAAAATTCCTATTTTTACTCTATGAAAATCTTGATTTAGGAATGAAACTCTATGAAAAGTAATGGAAATTAATAAATAAATAAAAAGCAAGTTAAAGTTAATAACCCTTGAAATTGGGAAAAAAATTCTTTCCAAGTCGCTTCTAGATGAAGTCTAGGTCTCAAAAAATGAAATAAAATGAGTCAATCCAAAAATTCTTTATTTTTACCTAGTTGCAGATGTTGCAATTGCAAACTCTTGTTCGTAATTGTGCAGCTCGCAATTGCGGACCGAAAGTCGTAATTACGGAATAAGCCTTGAACCTCAGAAGTCGCATATGCGACACCCGCTTCACAATTGTGAAGCTGGCCTTTCTATCCCCTATTCGCAAATGCAAGGTGCAATTTGCAAATGTGAACCTCGCATTTGCGAGAAAATCATCGCAAATGTGATGATGACAACACCAGTAATTCCAAACTTAGCAAAATTAGTCTGAAACTCACCCGAACCCCTCGGACCCCATTCCAAACATTCACACAAGTAGTGGTGGAGCTACGTTATGCGAAGAGATGTCAATTGACACACCTTCGTCAAAATATTACACTATGTAGCTAGGTAAAAAGTTAATTTTGTTGTACAAATACTTTGTTGACTTATTTTCTTTATGTGTTTACTTTTTAATATTTTGACACTCCTTAGTAAAATTCTTAGCTCTGCCATTGCACAAAGTATAATAACCTCACACTAACTCGCTTATAAGCTCAAATTTACAAAAAACGTCAAGAACCAAGAATCACGCATGAAACTCAGAGATTTTCAAGTGTTCATAAGTTGAATTTTCGATCTTTCACAATAAGCTTCGTAAGGCCTCGGGTCACCCCGGGACCCACATCAAAATATATGTATAAGTCCCAAATCATCATGCGAACCTACCAGAATCGTCAAAATATCGATCTTAGGTCATTTACAAAGAATATTTACCGTGATCAACTCCAACATATCTGAACTTTTCAGAAATCAATACGAATCATGCATACAAGTCTTAAATCATCTAGTAAAGTTATTCAAAGTCTCAAATTATGAAACGGAAAGTTAAAACTCAAAACGACTTATAGAGTCGTTGCACAAAAAAGTAAAAGTACTCTCTTGTACTTTAGATAATTAATACTTGCACCATATGACAAATCTAATACTCGTATCTTTATTAGCATTACGTTTAAAAGAGAAGTTTCTGAACTGTCGATGAAATAAATCCAATATTTCGTAATCGTGATAACTTAGCTATAATTCCAGTCTTTTCATATTATGAATTTTTTAAAGAACTTTGTGGATGGAGGAATCTTTTTCTTTTTTGGTGATAGTTTGCAAAAACTCCTAACAGTGAGAAGCTTTAAAATGGCCTCATTGAACTAAGGGACGCTTTTCTTACGAATTAGAGCTGGAGTCGTTTGTTCTCCATTCTCTCTCTCGTTAAACATCATTGACTTGTAGACAGACTAACTCAATGGGTCCATGAATGTGGCTTTCTAAAATTGGATTATGAAGGCCATACATTTCAAACTGGACTTTATTGTGGGGCAAGTGCACAGGTAGTCATTCTCAGGGATGCTATTTAAAGATTAGCCAATACTTATTTTGTCCTGAAATTTTAAACTAAAAATATGTTCAGGACATCCTGAAAAATTAAACGTAAAAACTAAAATTCGGAGCGCACTGGCTAATTCCTAAATAGCAGCATTGTAGAGTGTAGAGTGGCTACCTGTTGCCATTTCCACGTTTATTGTACTCTCTTTCTAAATTGGGCTTCTTCTATTTCCCCCCCTAGGAAACGGATACAGTTGGTACGGTTTAAATATAGGGTATGTTTGGAAAGTCATCGGGTAATTGAAATTGGTGTAATTATTAGTATATTAATTATACAGTCTAATAATTATACAATATTTTAACACTACTAGAAAAACGCTAACTTCTGACCGAAATATCCGACTAATTTTTTTTGTCAGAAATTTCCGACGAAATCCGTCGAAATTTTCAAAAAAATATTTCCTATATATTTTTAAATTTTTTCGACCACATTTTCGACCAAATCGGTCGCAATTTTTGGCGGAAAATTTATTTTGACTGGTTTGACTTACTTTCCGACCGATTTGGTCGGTAGTTTTTTTCTAAAAAAAAATTAAAATAATAATTCCGACCGAATCGGTCGGAATTCGTTTTTAAAAACCCTACAGCCCCTCCCCAAAAAATAGAAGCTCAGTTTTCATTCTCTCATCTCTCCCTCTCATCCCCAAGCTCCTCTCTTCCTCTCGTCCTTCTCTCCCGTCCCCAAGCTCGTATGTTTGCTCTCTCTCTCTCTCTCTCTCTCTCTCTCTCTCTCACATTTCCTCCTCCCTTCTCCCTCTCCTTCCTCCTCCCTTTTTTTCTTAATTTATTAATTTTTTACTCTATTTTACAGCAGCTAGCGTGGTTGGCGGCGACAGCAGCAGCTCCTCAGTCGACTTCTCCGGCATATTTTCCCTCGAGGTAAGTATTTCGTTGAACCACATTAAGTATTAGAGATCTCATTATTTGATTGATAATAGAAATCTCAATATTTCGTTGAATCACATTAAGCATTCACTGTTCAAATAATATACTCGTTTGCAAATTAAACACATTTATTTTATGAAAAGTATATACGTAAGTTCATAAAGAGACGGTCTTCAATCACTTTTATCTTGACCCTATAGATATTGATTTATTAATAAAAGAGGAAAAAGAAAATGGCAATAGTAGAGTCAGTTCTAATTTATTACAACTAGTAGAAGTTGAAATATTGTCCAAACACTAAGAAAATAATGTTAATTCTGCTAACATACTTAAAGATACTCCATTGTCATTACTAGCTCTAATAGATTAACTAGAATAACTTTGGGCGCCATCATCGATCTTCTGATTAAGTTCTTGTTCTTTTGCTAATATACTTAAAAGTTATTTTAAGGAAATTCAATTGATTAGTCTAAAAATATAATAAAGAATATCTGTTTCTTGATGCCATTAATTGAAAATCATGTGCATCTTAGGACGCGGCTCGCTTTTAACCCAAATTAAACCAAGGTAATTCGTTAAGCTTATAAGCTAATTAAACTAGCTTAATCCTATCATAAAGATTAGAAAATTATTTAATCCTACAACTTTACAAAACAAAGAATGATTTGTTTAAAGTGAGAAAACGACTGATGAAGATTAATTTTTCAAAAAATTATAATCAAAGAAACATATAAAATAATATAGTAATATTTCTATATTCACTTTTTAGAATGATATTAAATTTAAATTTTTTCAATTTCAACATTAAGATTAATTTGTAAATTTGAGAAATCATTAGTTAATTTGGATTATATGAATATTTAAANATTTTAAATATCTCATTTCTAGATTTCTATTTGTGTAGATGGAATTTGTGCATCGTAGATGGATATATAATAGGAATCATCCTAATTGTGCGGGGTTGATGGATTAATTTATTGAAGGGGTTGCTGAATTTATTGCTAAAGCTCAAACACTTGATGATTTTCTTATTGGAGGAAGGATTAGGTATCCTTGTGTGAAATGTATGTGTGTTAAGTTGTTGAAATCAGACGAAGTTAAAGTTCATATCTACAAGAAAGGGTTTGTAAAAAATTATTAAGATTGGTAATTACTTATAAAATTGGTAAGATTGGTAATTACTTATAATTTTTTTCTTAGTTTTACATATAGAATTTTACGTTTGTAATGTCTAACTCATACTTTTTGTTATGAAGGAAAAGGAAAGAGGGCGAGATATGAGTCACGTTGAGGTCTTCGAGGAGACGTATAAGAAAAAGAAGAAGGATGGTACAAGAGAACACTGGGTGGAGACACGTGAGTCGGACACATACGTAAAATACTAACTTCATAATTATTTATGGTTTATTAATATTAGTTTGTTTACATAATATTTATGTTTTCATTTCAGGAAGATTATCATAAAGGGTGAAAGAATGGCAACAAACTCAGCCTCTTTCAATTCAACCAACACCTGATGATATGGGTTCATTGTGGACAGTGACAGCGGGTGGAGTAAAGAAAGGCAGAGTCTACGAACTTGGAGTATGCCGACCTACAGGTCATCCAAACCCACTCCTAGCCAATTCTTCTTCTTCTCAAAATTAAGAACAAATGGAAGATATAAGAAAGGAAATTCGTGATTTGAAGCAACAATTGGACTCCCAATTCGGAACATTTGTTAAGATGCAGAAATTCATGAGAAAACATGAGCATGATCTATCTGATGATGAGGATGAACAAACTGAATCTGATGTGTAGTAGTTTAGGTATGGTATTTTGGTTGATTGGTAAACTTGATTGTGAGAGACAATTTTATGTTTTATTTTAAAACTTGAATGTGGGCTACTATTTAGATGTTTTTATGCCCAAAATTGTTAGGTTTAATGGTTGGTATTGTTGTTTTAGGTTATGTTAATAGTTGGTATTGTTGGTTTAGATTATGTTAATGATTGGTATTGTTGGTTTAGATTGTGTTAATGGTTGGTATTGTTGGTTAAGATTGTATTAATGGTTTGTATTGTAGGATTAGATTGTGTTAATGGTTGATTGGTTATTGGCGTTATTGTATTGTAATAGTTTGACAGGTGGTGTAACTCAAAATTGGGCAGAATTCTGCCCAGTTTTACAAAAAATTTCGACTGTTTCCGTCGGAAATCAGTCGGACAGCTGCCCAGATTTCACAAATAATTCCCAGATTTTCGACCGATTCGGTTTGAATTTTTTTTAAAAAAAATAATATTTAAAAGTTTTTGACGGATTCCATCGAAAATTAAATAAATAATTATTTTTATTTATATTACTACGACTGATTCGGTCGGTAAATTTCGACCACTTTGGTCGGAAATTTAAAAATATTTGGTCCTCTGACCTTTTGAACGTTCCGACTACTTTAATCGGAAATTACCGGCGGATTCGGTCGGAAATTATTTTCCGACCAACTGTTTTTCGATCGACCAATTTTGGTCGGAAATTAGTGATTTACGACCAATTTCCGACCGTTTTGGCGGTCAGAATTCTGTCATTTTCAAGTAGTGTAATTACGACGGTCTGTTTGTTTATCATAATACAATTAAAGTGTATTATTTAGTTGCACACGTGCAATTACACAGTTAAATTAACTTTTAAATATTAAACCAATTATCAAAAATTAAAAGTTAAGATTTACCAAATATATGCCTTTATAAATAATATTAAATTTGGCATGTAAGATACATATTGTTTCTTGAAAATATATTGATTACTAATCATATATTTGTGACTAATATTGTAAAAATAATTGACATATATTTTTCAAAATAATAATATTTTACTTAATTAATTCAAAAAAATAAAAGTACATATTTTGCAATAACATCATGGATTGCATGCTTGATAAAAACATAAATATTTATAAATATAATATCATAAAATTACTCATATGTTTTATGAAAAAATAATCTATCAATTCTAACTGAAAATAAATGGCATGCAATCTGAATTAATAAGTAAATACTACTAAAGCAAATAAAATAAAATCGAAAATACAACATAAATTCAAAATTTAAAAAATAATTTAACATAATACTCTTATGAAAAATTATAACATCACATAAAATAAGTTTCAACATAACTTAAGTAAATATAATCACAATAAAAGGAATACATAAGTCTATTGTCACGACCCAATTTCACCTATAGGTAGTGATGGCGCCCAACACTACAGCTAGGCAAGCCAACTAATAAGTCAAACGTACATTGGTTAAACTTTTATTCCAAGAAAATAATAAAATATCAACTTCTACCAATGTGTGTGTGCCAAGACCCGGTGTCACAAGTGCATGAACATCTAGTAGATTATACAAAACTCCAAATACTGTCTGAAATGAAATAGACAGAATATAAATATAAGAAGAGACACTGGTAGCTGCAGAACGGCTCAGAAAGGCAGCTCACCACTATGCCTCGGGATGACGTGGGTATGTGATGATAGGTCCTCCACTAGTACCTGTCTCAGATCTTGCACAAAAGGTGCATCAAGTATAGTATGAGTACGTAAATAACGTGTACCCAGTAAGTATCAAGCCTAATCTCGAATTGGTAGAGACGAGATGACTAACTTTGACACTCACTATGGGTCAATAATAATAACTGAAATAAAACTAGAATATTTAAATCAGCATGATTTACAGAATTTACAATAATTTATTTAATCAGCAAAAATAATCAAATTCCTTCAAATGTAACAATTCTCAATATATTAATTAAATTCCTTCAATTCAAATAAATTTCAATTTATCAATTAATTCTCATTTACAGGAGTAATAATTAATTCCTAAACAAGCAAGAATAATAATTCATTAAATTCCAAGGACTTTTTAATTTATTAATTAACTTCTCAAGCTGAAATAAATTATTAAAGTATCGTGTATATTATTATTATTAAGCACGATTTCTGCCGAGGACATACGGCCCGATCCAGAGTGTCGTGTACACTGCCGAGGGACGTGCGGCGCAATCCATAAATGCATCTATCCTGCCGAGGCGTTCGGCCCGCTCCACAAGAAAGGAGGATATTTTCTTATGTGCCTCCGGAAGGAGAGTATATTTATTATAAGGTAAATTCGGTAGGAGAACAATTTTTTTTAACAATTAATTGATTTAAACAGACAATCAAGCCTATGAGATTTCCATCCTTTAATATCTTTATCTAACAATTCATAATATATTCATATAGATATCAATTAATATAAATAAATCAAAGAATACAATTTACACAAATAAGGTATGCTTTGAGTCCTAAACTACCCGGACTTTCGCATTAATAGTAGCTACGCACGGACTCTCGTCACCTCGTGCATACGTAGCCCCCCACAATTAGCAACAATTATTTAATTTTTAATCACCTACGAGGTAATTTCCCCCTCACAAGAATAGACAAGAGACTTACCTCGTCTTGCTCTAATTTAATCCACTATAAAGCCTTTTTCACGATTATCCAACTCCGTCTGGCTCGAATCTAGCCAAAATAATTTGATACAATCACTAAATATTATAGGAATCAATTCTATAAGAAAATACTATATTTTAAAGAAAAGATCCCGAAATTAATTAAAAATTCGTCTGTGGGGCCCACATCTCGGAATTCGGTGAAAGTTATAAAATCTGATAACCCATTCAATTACGAGTCCAACCATACCAGTTTCACTCAAATCCGACTCCGAATCGATACCGAAATCTCAAAACTTCATTTTTATGAGATTTCTAAACTTTTCCAAATTTCAATCTCAAAACACTAATTAAATTGTGAAAACAATGATGTATTTATGTTTATAGACCAAATCCAAGTTAAAATCACTTACTCCAATGTCTTTTCCTTGAAAATCTATCAAAAATTGCCTCTGCTCAAGCTCCAATTTGTTAAAAATGGCGAATGGGACGAATGCCCTCTTTTTATAAAGCTGCCCAGCAGCCTTCGGAACTGGTCCTTGAACTGGACCTCGATCGCGGCTTTGATCACAGGCTCGAGCCTGGACCTCGGTCATGGCCTGCCTTCGATCAGGACATCGAGGTTGGGCCTTCGATCAGGGCATCGAGCATGGGCCTTCGATCAGGGCATCGAGCATGGGCCTTCGATCAGGGCATCGGGCATGGGCCTTTGATTGTGACACTCGATCTTGGGTCTCGATCCTGGCCCTCGAGCCTTGCCTTCGATCATGGCCCTCGAGCTGGACCTTCGATCATGGCCCTCGAGCAGGACCTTCGATCATGGCCCACGAGCTGGACCTTCGATCATGGCTTCGATACACAAGCTCGAGCCTATGCCTCGTCAACCCTGGGCTCGATATCTGGGCTCGATCACAACCCAGAATGTCCAACAGAAGAGGAAAAATTGCAGCAGCTTTTTAACTCCAATTTTTGATCCGTTAACCATCCGAAACTCACCCAAGGCACTCGGGACCTCAACCAAATATACCAATAAGTCCTAAAATATCATACGAACTTAGTCAAACCTCTAAATCACATCAAACAATACTAAAATCATGAATCATACCCCAATTCAAGCTTAATGAAACTAAGAGTTTTCAACTTCTACATTCGATGTCGGAACCTATCAAATCAACTCCGATTGACCTCAAATTTTACACACAAGTCATAAATTACATAACGGAGCTATAAAAATATCAGAACTGGATTCAGACTCCGGTATCAAAAAGTCAACTCATCAGTCAAACTTCCAAACTTAAATTCTTGTTTTAAGCCATTTCAAGCCTAATTTAACTACGGACTTCCAAATAAAATTCTGAATACGCTCCTAAGTCCAAAATCACCATACGGAGCTGTTAGAATCATCAAAATTCTATTCCAGGGTCGTTTTCACATAATTAGACATCCGGTGACTATTCGAACTTAAATATTTTAATTTTTCTTCAAAATTCCACATCTCGGGCTAGGGACCTCGGAATTTGATTCTGGGCATACGCCCAAGTCCCAAATCACGATACGGACCTACCGGAATTGTCAAAACACTGATCCGAGTTCGTTTGCTCAATTGAGTATTAAAGCCCTAATCCATATTTTAAATCCATTTTTCACATAAAAATTTCCATAAAATTTTTTACAGATTGCGCGCGCAAGTCGAGGAATGATAAATAGTACTTTTCGAGGTCTTAGAACATATAATTAATTATTGAATTTAAAGATGACATTTTGGGTCATCACATTCTCCACCTCTTAAACAAACGTTCGTCCTCGAACGGGTTTAGAATTGTACATGGAGTGCTGAATAAGTGGGATATCTGCTCCGCATGTCTTCCTCGGCCTCCCAAGTCGCTTCCTCGACTGGTTGGCCCCTCCACTGGACTTTTACTGCATAAATCCTCTTGGACCTCAACTGGCGAACCTGTTTATCAACAATGGCAATTGGCTCCTCTTCATAACCCAAGCTATTATCTAGTTGAACTGTGCTGAAGTCTAACACATGTGATAGGTCGGCATGATACTTCCGGAGCATAGATACGTGAAAAACCAGATGAACTCCCGATAGGCTGGGAGGCAATGCAAGCTTATAAGCAACCTCCCCAACTCGTTTCAACACCTCAAATGTGCCTATAAACCTTGGGCTCAACTTTTCCTTCTTCCCGAATCTCATAATTCCCTTCATCGACGAATCCTTCAAGAGAACTTTTTCACCTACCATAAATGATATATCACGCGCTTTCTGATCCGCGTAACTTTTCTGCCTGGACTGTGCTGTACAAAGTCGTTCCTGAATCAACTTTACCTTTTCCAAGGCATCCCTTACCAAATCAGTACCATAAAACTTAGCCTCACCTGGCTCAAACCATCCGATAGGTGAACGACATCGCCGACCATATAAAGCCTCAAATGGAGCCATCTCGATGCCGGATTGGTAACTGTTATTATAAGCAAACTCGGCCAAAGGCAGGAAACGATCCCACTGATCTCCAAAGTCGATCACACATGCTCTG